TCTTTCTTTCTTTCTTTCTTTCTTTCTTTCTTTCTTCTTTCTTTCTTCTCTTTTTTTCTTTCTCCGTTTCCTTCCTTCCTTCCTTCCTTCTTTCCTTCTCTCACCACTGCACTCCAGCCTGGGCAATAGAGAGCGCTGTCTAAAAAATAAATAAATAAATAATTAAAAATAAGAATGACAGTGAAATCCTGACATCCACAATGGACTGAGACCCTGCCATGATTATAGAACCCTGTGAACTCTCCCAGCAAACCTAGCAGGTGAGAGGGCTGTCACCTCACAGAAGAAACTGAGGTGCAAGGGGCAACAGTGTCTTGTCCAAAGTCACCGGGGTCTGCACTGGAGCCCACGCCTCTTGCATCTGTCAAGGGAGGCAGCTCCAGACATAAGCCTGCTGGGGCCTGCCCAGGGCAGTTCCAGGAGGCCCTCGGCCCACCACACTCTCTACATGTCCTCAGGGGTCCCTGCCCAGATGGTGTCAGGGGCCAGTGAGCCAAAAGCTGCATGGTGGGCACAGAGGCAAAGACACAGAGACAAGGAGAGGGAAGGGGTTTTGCCCAGGGTCACCCAGCCTTTCAGTTTCCTGAGGTTGCAAGTAACAGATTACAAACTCAGTGGCTTCAAACAGTAGCAATTGATTTCCTCACAGTTCTGGAAGCCAGAAGACTGAAATCAAGGTGTCAGCAGGGTCCTGCTTCCTCTAGAGGATTGAAGTGAGCCCAGATCTCCCCCAGGGAGCCCCCCAGGGCAGGGTGTGCTCTAACTTTTGGTCATTTCTATTCAGTAGTCTTAGGACTTATACCGTTTATTTATTTATTTATTTATTTATTTAATTTATGACATGGAGTCTTGCTCTGTCGCCCAAGCTGGAGTACAGTAGTGTGATCTTGGCTCACTGCAACCTCCACCTCCCAGGTCAATCAGTTCTCCTGCCTTAGCCTCCTGAATAGCCGGGACTACATGTGCCACCACACCTGGCTAATTTTTGTATTTTTGGTAGAGCCAAGGTTTCATCATGTTGGCCAGGCTGGTCTCAAACTCCGGACCTTGGGTGATCTGCCCATCTTGGCCTTTCAAAGTGCTGGGATTATAGTTGTGAGCTGCTGTGCCCAGCTAGGACTTGAACAGTTTAGAGGTTTTATTTGGGCTGGAGTAGAAACAGAACACAGGTAAAACTTTAACATGTCAGTGAATCAACAATGTGGGATTTGAGAATTCAGTGGTAGAGGAACAAGTTCATAGCTGTTTCTGCTCAAAGATCCAACTGGCTAAACCCATTGCTGCTCCACAACTAAGGCAGACACAGCAGAAATAGAAACACCCAAACCCCACTGATCACCTGACTTCCTTCCTTCCTTTCTTCCTCCCTTTGCTTCCCTCCCTTCCTTCCTTTTTCAGCCAGCGTCTCACTCTGTTACCCAGGATAGAGTGCAGTGGTGCGATCTCAGCTCACTGCAACCTCCGCCTCCAATGTTCAAGTGATTCTCCTGCCTCAGCCTCCTGAGTAGCTGGTATTAGAGGTACCCACAACCATGCCTAGCTAATTTTTGTATTTTTAGTAGAGTCTGGGTTTCACTACGTTGGCCAGTCTGGTCTCGATCTTTTACCTGGTGATTCGCCTGCCTTGGCCTCCCAAAGTGCTGGGATTATAGGCATGAGCCACTGCTCCCATCCTCACCTGAGTTTCTGGGAGGGAAAGGCTGGCTGCTGTGGGCTCAGAGCTCCTGATCTTCTCTTCCTCAAGGCCTCAGGTTCTCTTTGCCTCTGATGGGCCTAGCCATTCTTTCTGAGACACCTCAACAGGTGCCAAGACTGGAAGATTGGAGGGAATGGTACAGAGAAAGTGAAGTGTGGTGGTCAGCTTCTATACTTAAGCTTAGTGGCTTCAATAAAATTCCTAATTTTACCAGGCGTGATGGCTCACGCCTGTAATCCCAGGACTTTGGAAGACTGAAGCGGGCAGATCACCTGAAATTGGGAGTTCAAGACCACCCTGACCAATATGGTGAAACCCCATGTCTACTAATAATACAAAATTAGCTGGACGTGGTGGTGCATGCCTGTAATCCCAGCTACTTAAGAGGGTGAGGCAAGAGAATCACTTAAAGCCAGGAGGCAGATGTTGTGGTAAGCCAAGATCGCACCATTGCTCTCCAGCCTGGGCAACAAGATCAAAACTCTGTCTCAAAAAAAAAAATTCCTAACTTCCAGATCCAGCCTTCCCACTCCTGCCTCCCAGCCCTCACTGTGTTTCTGCAGGATCTCATTGGGGAAAGGCTGGTTGATCACCTCTTGGACCCGGCAGCAAAGTTGAGCACAGAGACTGTATCTAGGTAGAAGCGTCTCTTGGGGAAATGTTGACAATGTAGATGCTGTGGGCTGAGCTACCCAGACAGTCCTGAGGTGGGGACCAGGCAGTGGGTGAGTCAGAAGCGCTGCCTGGCTGAACATGGTGGCTCACATTTGTAATCCCAGCAGTTTAGAAGGCTGAAGCAGGTGAAATCACTTAAGCCTAGGAGTTCAAGACCAGTGTGGGCAACGTGGTGAAACCCATCTCTACAAAAAATACAAAAGTTACCTGGATGTGGTGTGTACATCTGTAATCCCAGTTACTTGGGAGGATCACTTGACCCAGGGAGATCGAGGCCGTCGTGATCCGTGATTTGCACCACTGCACTCTAACCTGGGTGGTAGAGCAAGACTCTGCCTCAAGAAGAAAAGAAAAGGCCGGGCGCCGTGCCTCACACCTGTATCCCAGCACTTTGGGAGGCCGAAGCAGGCGAATCACTTGAGGTCAGGAATTCGAGATCAGCTTGGCCTATGTCATGAAACCCCATCTCTCCTAAAAATACCAAAAAAAAAAAAAAAAAAAAAAAGCCAGGCCTGATGGTGGGTGCCTGTAATGCCAGCTATCAGGAGGCTGAGACAGGAGAATCCCTTGAACTCCACAAGGAGAGGTGGCAGTGAGCTGAGACTGTGCCACAGCACTCCAGGCTGGGTGACAGAGCAAGATTCAGTTTAAAATAAAATAATTAATTTTAAAAAGATAAACTGTGACGTAGCACATTTCTATAATCTGTCTCAGAAAAAAAAAAAAAAAGTTGGCTGGGCGCAGTGGCTCACGCCTGTTATTTCAGCACTTTGGGAGACCAAGGTGGACAGATCACAAGGTTAGGAGATCTAGACCATCCTGGTTAACATGGTGAAACCCTGTATCTACTAAACATACAAAAAATTAGCCTGGCGTGGTGGCACACGCCTGTAGTCCCCGCTACTCAGGAGGCTGAGGCAGGAGAATCGCTTGAACCAGGGAGGTGGAGGTTGCAGTAAGCCAAGATCGTGCTACTGCACTCTAGCCTGGGCGACAGAGCAAGACTCCAGCTTAAAAAAAAAAAGGTCCAGCCTGCCTGTGCGTGAACTGCTCTTCCCCACACCCCACCCCAAGCAGGCTTCAGAAGAACATCCTTCTCCAGCAGCCAATTTGCCCTGACACGGGTGGGCTGACTTGCAACAGGCAAGTGAGCTTGTTTTCCTGGGGAGACACATGGGGGAGTCCCTGGTTCAGTACATCCACTGCCTTGCCCAGCACAAAGCCGGAGATGGAGATGGCTCCACTGTTTTTAGCCCAAGGCCCTTGATGCCTGTGTGTTGGCTTCCTCTGCATCAGACTAGTCAGTCAGGTAGAGGTTTCCCTCCTGCTGGCAAGATGGGGCCAATCATTCCTGCTGGCCCACCTGGGAGTAAGCAAAGGTCTCAAGCTTGGCTCAGGCTCCAGGGCTCTCCCAGGTCCTCAACCCTGTCCATGGCCTCTCCTTGACCTTGAGCACAGCATGACTTCAGGAGGAGTGCTGGTTGAGCCGGGTGCTTCCTCCAGTCCAATTTCCATTGGCCAACAGGAAGGGCTGCTCAAAATCAGCAAAGCTCACTGTGCTGCCTTTGGCATCGCATGTGCTAAAACTGGAATGATACAGAGATTAGCTTGCCTCTGTGCAAAGATGCCACAAAAATGTGTGAAGTGTCCCATATAAAAAAATAATAATAACAGGCCAGCACGCGGTGGCTCACAGCTATAATCCCAGACTTTGGGAGACCAAGGTAGGCAGATCACTTGAAGTCGGAAGTTCAAGACCAGCCTGGGCAATATGGCAAATCCCTGTCTCTACTAAAAATACAAAATTAGCCAGCCGTAGTGGTGGGTGCCTGTAATCCTAGCTACTCAGGAGGCTGAGGCAGGAGGATCACTTGAACTTGACCCTGAGACACAGAGGTTTTAGTGAGCCGAGATCATGCCACTGCACTCTAGCCTGGGTGACAGAGCAATACTCTGTCTCTAAATAAACAGATGATAGAACAACATGAAATAAAATAAACTATGACTTGGCACGTTCCTATAACACATCTTATTGATGTGATAGCAATGAGCAGAGATTGCTGCATGGCACTCCAGCCTGGGAGAAAGAGAGAGACTCCTGTCTCAGAAAAAAAAAAATTATCATCATTGTCATCCTCATATAAAATCAGCAAAGCTAGCGATAGGCTTCTGCACGAGGCCAGGAATCAGGGTGATTTCCCTATAGTCTTCTGGGATCACCGGGTCTCCCTCTGCAGGGTCCAGGAGGTGGAACCCTGTGTAAGCAGTGAGGGGAAGGGCAGTTCTCCACACAGGGGCTGCTTGCTTTCTGGGGACCAGTTTCCTTTCTCTGCTCTGTTCTCAGAGTTGAACCATCTCCATCCCAGACTGTGTCTTTCCAGGTCTCACCTTCCCTCCCTCCTGCCTGAGCAGAGCTCTGTTCTAGAACCAGGTCTGTCTTTGACCC